TTGTAGCTAAAATGCAGGTGCCCTGTGTGGGGATAGAGCACCTCAATGTTGCAGCCACTGATAGAAACAAAACAGTTTGAAGGAAGTGGAAGAAACCATATGGTTAATAATAAGTTACTTCTTTGGAGTAGGACCATCAATTCTTCCCTAATTTGCTGCAACTGAAGAGACAATTGTTTTATTTGGAAGATAGCCAAAATGTTAACCTGTGATGTTGAAACAACCTAATAATGTGGATACTATCAATATCTGAAGGATAGAATTTGCAAAAATGGTTGGATTAAATTTGATTCAACCAAGTTACTTTAGCTAATTTTATGTTTACCAGATTCTCTTTGAATTATGATCCTTCGCAGATTGCAGCCTTTAACTTTTTAGTCTGAGTATTATCATCAAATTTGATGTCAGATTTGTCCTAACTCAGTCATTAGGAAGAAAGAGCCTTCGACTGCATTCACAGTGAAAGGTATACATTATTGGAGCCAAGCAGTTACAAGTTAGGAAAAAGCCAGACCTGAGGTTTGCATATGAAAACTGCCTTACTTTCCCCTTTCCCAGGTCCTTCTCCCCCATTATCTTCCTGGTGCCCAACTGAATTCAAACTAATTGTTTTTGTTAAGCCTGAATTCCCCAACGGGTGTTAAGGAAAACAAACTAAACAGAATGTGCAGCGAAGTCAGATAGGAAGACAGGTAAATGTGTGAGATAAGCCTTCTCGTTAACACGCAGTAAAAATACAGATACGCTTGTGCTATCAAAATTATAATTTATTCCATTTAAGAATTATAGCATAGTCATGTAAACAGTCCAGTAGTCATATATCAATTTCAGTCAAGTCTTGTCAGGGATACTCTATTTGCAAAGTCCGTGTTGAATAGCCAATGTCAGTACACTTACAATAAATCAGTCCAATCTTCTCTCCATTGAGAAATATCAACACACTTCTTCACTCCCCGTTTCAGCAAGAACGCAGTCTTCAATAAGCCAGCCAGTAATTAGGGATCATTAAGCCAGAGAGTGCCTTGCTGCTTATATAGTACTTTTACAGCTGCCCCCTTAATTACATTCCTTTAGCTTAAAGTCACATACACTTTATCTGACAAACCATGATTCATCATTTTATTATCTTTACCCAAAACAGTTAGGGTAAAACAATGTTATCCCTAACATTCTTCCCTTTTGGGTAATAATAATAAATATTACAATAATATATCCATTTACACCTTTAAATCATAATTGTCACAACTCTCTTTAAATTTTACAACACCTTGTGCTTTTGTAAACTGGTCTACAATATTTTCTTCCGTCATGCAGTACTCAAGTTTAATTAGACCATTTTTTACAGATTCTCTAACATTTAAGTATCTTAAATCAGTATGCTTTGATCTAGTCTTTACAGCAATATTAGTAGCTAACGGTATAGCTGCCTGGTTGTCCTCGTACA